GAGACGTACTATGCACATTGCTGTTTTGTTTCCCAAAATCAGCAAAGTATTAGTGATGACTCAATCCTCTGTATTGTTAGAAAATTATTTAGAATTTTCACAAAGATCGCCTTGTTAGATACTCTACTCTTAGTCTATTCCTATGATGCTGAATGCAATCCTTAAATTTTCCTCATCTTTTATTAATTTTAGGTATGAAAGTTTTGATTTTCATCGTGAATGTGGCAACACGGCCTGGCATCGACTTTGCATCTTGCTTGACCGCTTGATGGCCGATCTCCTGAGAAATGGGTATATTACTTGATTTTCTATGAGCATATTTTGCTTGCATTCGTATCATATTTTTATTCATCCCCAATTAACTCGAATTCTCTAGCTCTGCGCAAGATTATAACCAATTTTTTTATTTATATCTTATAGTAAGAATCTCATGGGGCTGGCAAATCCATCTGTCCTTTGTCCATGTCCTCTGTTGCTTTATACTTTTTAAATCATCCTGAAATTGATATAATCTTGTCAAAATCTCTTTTCTCTACAGGCCGCGATGTCAAGCCTCATCATTGTTCATGATTTTATCTAGGTTGAGCAGTTCTAATCAAAAGTTTTATTTTATTTTCACTGAGGATTTATGTACAGTAGATATATATAAACCCACTTAACTAAGGAAGAAGAGGCTAAATTGCGTAGTTTGCCGCTTAAGCAGTGTAGCGAAAGGTAAAATTCGTGATATCCTGGGCCTCCTCTTAGAAATATCATGACTATACTTTGAGTTACGTCAAGATTTAGGTTGAGATGAAAGATAGCTAGTCAAATAAGACCATTTTTCATCAGCTACATAACAGCCTAAGATATATTCACCTCAACAGCATAAACATCCCACAATATTAGTTATTTGACCTTGCTTTTGCCACTTGTCTATATTGCCGAGGAGACCTAGAAGAACGCACCTTGTCCAGAGTCCATAGTATGCATGATAATCTCTAGAGTCTGACCATAGACTTGGTACATTAGCAGACGTACCAAGTCCACGATTCGACTCTTGAGATTATCATGCATACTATGGACTCTGGACAAGGTGCGTTCTTCTATGTCTCCTCGCCAATATAGCCAAGTTGCGAAAACAAGGCTGCGACTAAAATAGAGGCACCATATCTTGCTCTTCGTATTTATGTTTATTCTACACTATTATTAGCGC